CCCCCATCCCTGCAGCAGCCCCGAGCAAACGCCATCTGCCAGCAGCGCTTTGTCACCCACACATGGCTGTGCCCGCGCCGGTGGCACTGCTGCGCTCCCACCCCTGCCATTGTGACGTCACAGCCCTGCTATTGTGATGTCACAGCCCCGCCATTGTGACGTCACAGCCCTGCTATTGTGACGTCACAGCCCTGCCATTGTGACGTCACAGCCCCACCATTGTGACGTCACAGCCCTGCTATTGTGACGTCACAGCCCTGCTATTGTGACCTCACAGCCCAGCCGTTGTGACGTCACAGCCCAGCCATCGTGATGTCATAGCCCAGCCGTTGTGACATCACAGCACATTGTGGCCTTCACAGGGCAGCCTTTTCACCTACCTCACAGGCAGGAGCTCTGGTGACACAGAAGTACCTCACATCCTGCCTGGTGATGGGTGATGTGACCCAGGACACTCATCCTGCCCCCCGTGACCCCCCCCCAGCTCTGCACGGTTGCAGCTCCAGCACTTTCCCACCAAACAATTCCCAGGTCATCATGTGCCCAATGAACACCTCGTGCCATAAAACTGAGTCCACAGCTGGTGTGAGTCACAGCGGGCAGGAGGGGACAGCAGAGGGGACAAAAGGGTCCAAAGCCCTATGGTCGGTCACAGCCCCTCTCCATCCTCCTCCTGCAAAAGAAATGGAATTCACACACAGCCCCCAGCTCCTGGCAGAGTCCAGACTCCTCTCCCTTCAGGGCCACCCCTTTTTTCCCCCCGTGCCTCAGTTTCCCTTTGCCACACCCTCCCTCCCCCCGGCGCTCTCTGTCCAACCCAGGCCACCGCCGTTCCACTGCAGACAGACACAGGCACGGCCCCCACGGCCCCATCCCCAGAGATGCCATTGCCCCACAGATGGGGACCCGCTCACCACTAGCTCCAACACACATGTGGAGGGGTCCCACGAGGCAGAGCTGCTCCAGGGGCCTGAGGCTGATCATCCCCAAAGGCCGCAGGGATGGGGACAGGGATGGGGACGGTGACAGGGGCACGCTTGACTCCTGCCGCTCCCTTCCCGTGCTGCCACATCCCCGGCGGTGGCTGCGCCGCGCGCATCCATCTCTCGCAGCCTTCACCTCCCAGAAATATTGCAGCACGGAGCCGGCTCCATCTGGCAGCACAGCCCCCCCGCCGCGCCTCACGGGGAGATGCCGAATCAGCCCCGAGCCGGCCCTGCTGCGCTCAGCCCCACAGCGAGGGGCCAGGACCCCCTGTGTCCCAGCGCGGTGCCCTCGCAGCGGACCGTCTTCCCCCAAGTGCCCACAGGTCCTTTCCTGTCACCGCCGGCCGAGTCACGTCACCCACCTCCGGCCGATGCCACTGCTCCCTCCGGGCACTGTCCCCATCCGCTGCCCTCCTGCTTCAGGATGGAGGGGAAGGCTGGAACTGTAAGAAGAAGGGGCTCCGTTGGGCAGCACGGCGCCCGGCTCTGGAGAGGTCACACAGCCTCACCTGCAACCCCATCCCCACAGCGTGTGGGGCCGGAGCCTGTGAACACAGCCCTGCTCCCAAATCTGGATGGAGCTGCTGTGCTCTGCGCCTCCTCCGGTGGAGGGGACAGCATGGGGACGGCACGGAGGTCCCTCACGGGCTGGCTGAAGCTCTCCACCTCCACCGCAGCCCTGGTGCAATTAAGCAGCCAGTTTGGGTTTTCATCTCCCCGCGCCCCTTTCATCTGCTCTCCCCGTTTCATGTCTCCACTTTCTTCTCTCTCCAAGCTGTGCATGCTGATGAGGCTCCGGCCCGCTCCCAGCCCTCGCCACGCGCCTGCTGCTAATGAGGTGGCATGGATGCGATGGCTGCGATGTGGGGCTCCTCCTGTCCCTGTCCCCGCGTGGCTGTGGTTCTCACTGACCCTTGAGCAGTTCCTCAGCCTCAGGCAGCCCCAAAGGGGGGCACCCTGGGCTTGGAGGGCTCACGTGGCTCAGGGGGCGCAGGCAGAGCGAGCTGGAGCTGCGCCGTGGGAAGCGCTGCGATGTGCTGTGCTCTCACCCTCGCAGGGCACTACAGGTAGACGTGGCACTGACACTGGCACGGCCGGGCCCTGCCTCCCTCAGCTTCAGCCCAGGTGCCATCTGCTTGGCCGCAGCCGTGAGTGACAGCACGAGATGTCCCCCCCACACACACACTGCTGGTGGAGGTCCCCTGTCACGTGCCAGCCCCATCACCTGCACCGGGGCGGTGGGAGATGCGGCCACTGGCACAGACCCCGTGGATGGGCACGAAGAGTCCTTTGTCTGCACGGAGGCAGCAGCCCCCGCTGTCACCACTGCCACTGTGTCCCTACAGTGTGGCCAGGCCTGTTTGGGGACATGGGGCTGTCATCTGCGTCACTTGAGTCAGGGACAGAGGAGACAGAGCCAAGCAAAACTGTAGTGGCCAGGAAGTGGTGACAGCCCCAGGGCAGAGCGAGGGCAGTGGCTGTGTTTGGCAGCAGGGGGACCCAGGGATGCAGCACACCTGTGGGTGTCCCCATGCTCTGTCCTGGGATGTGTCCCCATTCAATGCACGGTACAGGGTGCATGGTGCAGCCTGCAGGGGCCCACAGTCTGTGGTGACACTTGGTCACCTCCTCCTGCCCTCAACAAGGCACTGCCACACAGGGCCAGAACACATGCGTGAGGCTGATTGCAGGGCCGGGGGCTGGGGATCATTGGCTTCTAGAGACACCAAGATGTGCCAGCGGTGCCAGTGCACTGCACAGGGGCACGGGGCTGGAGAGGGCCAGCAGCACATGGCAGACAAAGGCCTCGTGGGTGGCACTGCAGCACAGCACGGCCTCAGCCATTGGCACCGGGGGACCCGCGGCCTCAGGGTTCACCGCTGCATCGGAGAGATGGCTCACACACGTGCACACATGCAGATCTGCACGCATGTACACACGCATGCCTGTGCGTGCACACACGTAGGAGGGTGCTGAAGACTGGATGCGTTCATGCAGGGCTGTGCAGCTGGGTTTGCAGAGAAAGGATGGCAGAGATGTGCAGTCCAGGGGGTGCCGGAGGGGTCCGGGGTGGACGGCGATGCCACCACACGCGGGGACCCACAGCCCTCCCTGTGCCGTGTGCACCCTCTGCCCACCCCAGCACGGCCAAAACGGGCACCGACCGCACCGCCACCTCCCATGGGCCGTGCCCACCCGCAGCCCCCAGCCCACACCGGGCCCCGTTCTGCAGCAGCGGGTGCGGACGCGGCCGGGCGAGCCGTGCGCTGTGTGCAGCGATCCGCCGATGCCAGCTCGCAGTGAGGGTCCCTGTGGCATCCCCCCCTCAGCCAGCGCCTCCAGCTGCCCCCAGCACACACAGGCCGCCCCGTGAGCCCGGTTCCAGCGCCCTGCCTGCGCTCCATTGTTCAGCCCCAGCCCTGCTATCGCCTGCATCTCGCCCAGGTCCCATTTTGCGGCGTGTAGGCAGATCTGTAGATTTGGAAGGGTTTTTTTTTTTTTTCCTTCTTTTTTTTTTTTTTTTTCTTTTTTTCTTTTTTTTCTTTTTTTTTTTTTTTTTGAGTACAGAGTGACAGATGGCGAGTCCTCCTTCCCCAGAGAGACAAATCTCCCTGAATGCAAGCGCATGTCAATCATTAGCTCTCATGTGATAGCTCTCGCGCATGACGTGCCAACCATATGGCACTGGCAGCAGAGCTGGTACCCCCTTTGCTGGGTAGAGATGCCACTCTCGCCTCCTTTTGGATAGAGGACTGCAGGAGGCTGGAGCACCTCAAGGAGCCGCGTCCCGCTCCCAGAAGATGCTGGGAACAATGAAATAAGAATTCCTCCAGTCAGCGCCGAAGGTGAGTTATGTAAGAAGTGGAGGGCTGGGAGGGCAGCGAGGAAACTTGAATGGAGAAAAGGCAACTTCCATGTTGGTTTGGTTTCTCCGCCACGTCTCGCCCTTTTTTCCCCTTCTTTCGTTCTCCCCCATCCTTCTCTTCTCCCCATCCCCGCCGGCCCCGCAGGTGGCATTTTCCCTCCGACCCCTCCCGGGGGGTTCGGGGCCTTTCCCCCCCCCCCCCCCCCCCCCCCCCCGCTGTGGCCGCGCCCGGGGCTCCCGGTGAGGTGCGGTCCCGCCGGGACGGAGCGGGCAGCGGCGGCCGCACCGCATCAACGAAATCGCCTCGGAACCGCCGCGCCGCCGCCCCCGGGGGCCCCCGCCCGGCTGAGTCGCCCCCCCGCTCCCCCGCGGCGCCCCCGTTCCCCGCCCCAGGCGGCGCCCCCCGCCCCGGCCCCGCCGCACCTCTCAGCCCCGGGGAGCGACCCCGCCGGGACCACCGCCCGTCCCCCCAGACCCCCCCACCCCGAGGGGGGGCCCTGCCCCGGTCGCCCCCGCCGCCCCCCGCCGCGTCGCCGTTCGGTGCCGCCGCATTTTGCGGGCCGCGCTCCGCGGAAGCCCCGGGCGGTGGGGTGCGGAGGAAGGGCCCGGGGCGGGTGGAGAGGAGGGGGCACGGGAGAGGGGAGGGGGCCGAGGTGCGGGGGGAGGGAGGCACGGCCGCTGCTCTGCGCTCCGGCCCCGGGACGGCGGCGGTGGTGGAACCGTGGCCGGAGCCGCTCCGCTCCGCGTCCGAAAAGTTGGAGGCGTCCAAGCGGGGCCGCGACCCGCGGGGCGAGGAGGGGCGCGGGGCGGGGGCGCAGCGGTGGGAACCGGGGCCCGGCCCGGGCTGCGGGAGCGGCGGCGGCGGCGGCGGCGGCGGCGGCGGCGGGGAGGGGAGAGAGCACGGAGGGGAGGGCGGCGGCGGGCGGAGAGGCGGGGGGGGACCCGGTGCGCGGCGCCCCGCCCCGAGCGTCGCCCCGGTGCCCCCGGTGCCGGCGAACCCGGGCGGGGGGCGGCGGAGGGCGGCCCGGCGGCGCATTCGTTTTCGCCGCATCGGGGCCGCTCCCGGCGGCGGGGAACGGCGGCTCCGCGCGGTGCGGTGCGGGGCTCCGCGGTAACGCTGCGCTCTTTGCCCCCCCGCTGCAGCCATCATGTTGACGCGACTTTTCAGCGAGCCCAGCCTGATCCCCGAAGTTCAGAAATTCTCCAGCTGGGCCGAGGAGTGCGAGGAGGATGCCCGCAGCGACAAGGAGGAGCGGAAGGGTAAGGGCTGCGCCCTCCCCGAGGAGCCGCCCGAGGGCTCGCTGGGGGAAAGCAAGGAGGAAGGGGAGCTAGGCGGGGACGAGGAGGAGGAGGAGGAGGAGGAGGAAGGCCTGGAGGAGGCGGAGGGCGAGCGGCCCAAGAAGCGCGGCCCCAAGAAGCGCAAGATGACCAAGGCGCGCCTGGAGCGCTCCAAGCTGCGGCGGCAGAAGGCGAACGCCCGCGAGCGGAACCGCATGCACGACCTGAACGCGGCCCTGGACAACCTGCGCAAGGTCGTGCCCTGCTACTCCAAGACCCAAAAGCTCTCCAAGATCGAAACGCTGCGCCTGGCCAAGAACTACATCTGGGCTCTCTCCGAGATCCTGCGCTCGGGCAAACGGCCCGACCTGGTCTCCTACGTGCAGACTCTGTGCAAGGGGCTCTCGCAGCCCACCACCAACCTGGTGGCCGGCTGCCTGCAGCTCAACTCCCGCAACTTCCTGACGGAGCAGGGCCAGGAGGGCGGCCGCTACCACGGCCCCAACGCGTCGTTCGCCGTGCACCCCTACCCCTATCCCTGCTCGCGGCTGGCCGCCGCTCAGTGCCCCCCGCCCGCCGGGCCGGGTTCGCACGGGCTGAGGACACACAGCTACTGCGCGTCCGCTTACGAGAGCCTCTACGGCAACGCGTCCCCCGATTACAACAGCTCGGAGTACGACGGCGGGCTCAGCCCCCCGCTGTGCATTAACGGCAACTTCTCCCTCAAGCAAGACTCTTCCCCCGACCACGAGAAAAGCTACCACTACTCTATGCACTACTCGGCGCTGCCCGGCTCCCGCCCCGCCGGCCACAATCTGGTCTTCGGCTCGGCGGGGGTGCGCGGGGGGGTGCACTCCGAGAACCTCTTCCCCTACGATATGCACCTCCCGCACGAGCGGGGCCCCATGTACGAGGAGCTCAACGCCTTCTTCCACAACTGACCCCCCCGGGGCTCCGCCGCGGGCTTTGGTGCAATAGCGGGACCCGGCCCCGGCAGCGGGTCCTGAGCCCCGTGGGGACAAAGTGCTTTTTTTTGGACCATTTCCCCCTTTTCCCCCTTTTTCGGACGATTATTCCCTTTTTTTTTTTTTTTTCCCCGGATCATTTTTTTTCATTTTTCTTTTTCTTTTTTCTTTTTCTTTTTTTTTTTTTTTTTTGAACCATTTCCCCACTCTTCTTTTTTCTTTCTTTTTTTCTTTTTTTCTTTTTAATTTTTGACTGATTTTCCTTTATTTATTTCTTTTTAATTATTACCATTTACTCCCTTCCTGCCCCCCCCCCTTCCCCCCCGGGGCAGTGACAAGGAGCGCACGCAGCCCGGCCCGGGGCTCTGCCTCAAAACCGCGTCGTTTCCTATTTATTTCGTTTCTTATTTCTCCCTCCCCATCACCACCACCGCACCCCCTTCCCCTTCTCCACCCCGCACCGTTTTGGGCCGTTTCCCCCCCTCCGCCGCCGTGAGCCCCCCCGAGCGTTGGACACCCCCGTGGGAGCGAGAGGAGAGCGCGCTGCGGCGCGGAGCGAAACTTTCCGAAGCAATAAAGAGGCGAAACGGAGATTCCAATATTTCTATCTATGCAAGCAGGCCCGGCCCGGCGGACGCTCACAGATGCACTTTGCTTTGGGGGGGTCCGGCCCGGCCCC